GGGGGGGGGAGTGGTGCGGTTGGGGGGCTTACCCCGCGTGCCCCCATCCTTTTTGGGTGCTGGGTCTATTCCTCCTTTTCCTCTCCTGCTGCCGTTGTTGGCATTGCTGCCTCCTCGAGTGTGTAGCCTTGCATCAGAGAAGGCCGTGGGTCGTGCTAAAATTGTAGTCAAAGGCAGCTGGGAGGTGAGCAAGGAGAACAGAAGGGATATTCTGGGTGATGGGCACCCGGCTGAGCAAAGTCGTGAGCTGGCAGCCCCACAGGCAGACAGAAACTGGCAGCTGATGCCAGCACTACACAGCGGAAAAGTCAGTGATGGCGTGGAAGATGTCCCCTTTGGGAGAGGCAAGGGCTTGTTGCTGGCTGGACAGGCTCTGTTGGAGAGGGGTCAGCAGAGACATGGAAGCGAGCCCGGCAAAAGCCGGGTGAGGAGCCTGGCCTGCAATGGAGGGGTTAACGCTGGCTGAGGGTCGCAGCCTGCCCTGACAGCTTCGGTCCTGCAGGAAGGGACAGGTGGCATATGTTGGCAGTGCTGGTTCAAAGGCTGAGGATTTTTCATTTTCATCAGTCCCACCCTGGTCGTGTCCAGTCCCACCAGAATTGTGGTTGTGATGGGGCATAAGGGGCTGTGTGTGAGTGGCCCAGGGACAGTAACAGCGCATCTGTAAGGGAGCTCTCTGAGACAGTGCCAGTCCCACACCTTTACTCTGTCTCTTTTGGTTATCCGAGTGCTGAGAGGAAGGTAGAGGAGTTTGAGACTGAGATTGGGGGTTGTCACTCCATGTCCTTAAATCTTTTGTCTCGGGGCAATAGCCTATTAATATGTAAAGAATTGTTGTGGCTTATTTTGCTTGCATACAACCCCCAAAAGGAGTGAGATTAAAGTTACGTTTGAGGCTGACTGCTGTATGAGAGTGACTGCATATTTATTCCATCCCAGTTGACAGCTTGAGGGGTAGATCTTCTGTGCATATCACATCCTCTGTCTTCATCTTTTTTTCTTTTTTTTTTTTTTTGCTTTCTCTGGAAAAGACTGCACTTTCCTTTCCCAGGTAAAAATGGCTTCACCCATTTGTTCCCTTTGCCTCAGAACAGCTATGGAAGGGAAAGGGATGCCCCAGTGCACTCTCCTTGGCTAAACACACTTCATACCAGACAGACAGGTCTGTGAAGGATGCTGCTCCCTGTTGACATGGCTGAATGAACGGTTTCCTAATCATAAAACTAACATTAACAGGGTTTTCCTTCCTGGTGGTGACAGGGAGGAGTGTGTGCATTCAGGACTCATCCTCACTGAGAGCTGGGGAGCACTTTGGGGTTCTGCAGTGCAAAAATTGCTCAAGGTGGTTTTTCCTACCTTTCTTTCCAGTGTTTGCTGCTGGCTGTCGTTTCTCAGCTTTGCATTTGCTGGTTTGACTGGTTCATGAGCAGGCTGGGAGCTTGTACAGTTCCTGATCATATCGCAAGAAGAAATTCTTTCAGGCAAAATCAGCAGTCTTGAACTCGTGCTCAGTTTTAGAAACACGCTATGTAGGAAGCATCTGCGGACTGGCTAGGAGATCCCATGAGCTTTTTCACCAAAATAAGATTAAAAAATAATTCCACACCATGCTAGACAGCCAGAGGCTTGTACTGGATGCTAATGCCTTAGGTGAAGTAGTTAACCACTGGCTCTCTGTGGAGGTGCTGCATGTTATAATTTGAATATTGTCCGTGGATAAAAGGGGACAGGATAGACTGAGAAGCCACAGAGACTTCAGCACTTTTCTGTGCTACCAAAGACCCTGAGGACAGCTGCTGAGTGTTGGGCAGCACTGCAGCATCCTTTTCTGTTCTTCTGTCCATGGACCATGGGGACTATGCAGTGGGGACGGTGGCCGGGGGGGTGCAGGGAGCAAGGTAAGAGCCACACTGCACAAGGGTGAGCTGGTGTTTCTTTAAGCAAAATTTGGGAAGTCACTTCCCTAACAGAAGGGTTTACCGAAATCGGTAGAAGTGAGATGCAGGAGTAGGATTACAAACAGGATGAAGGAGGGACCGTGAGTCACAGGAGTTGTGAGAGGATGGGGGCAGGAGCCATAGGAAGATTTAGGGCAGCCTCGCAGCATTTGAGGTTTGTTCCACAAATGGGACAAATTTCCTTTTTTAAGTTTGCCCTTTTCTCATTTATGCCTGTTATCACCTCAAGCCTATTTTCTCCTGTTTAGCTAGCTATTGCCTTCCAAATTTTCTTGGCACTAGTCTTGCTTTTTAGTGTAATTAACACCAAAATCCAAATTAAGTACCGCAAAGGCAGTAATTGATAGAATTCCTCTAGTTTTACTCCTAAGTTGCATCCTCCTGTTAATTTGTATCCTGATTTTGAAATGTTTTTAGCCTGGCTTCTTGTGAAAAGGAGGATTACATGATCACATGCTGTGTGCCTGAATATTTCTGTTTATTCACCCTTGTGACTTACACTTATGTTGGCCAATGGATTCAGATTTGGTGAAGGGATATTGCTCAGGTACAGAGTCCTAGAAGCTCTGGGTGTAAGGGTAGTTAGGGAGAGTACAGGAACCCGAAATGGTCCACATCCTCCTCCCCAGAGGACGAGCTGCTTCAAAAATAAAACTGTATTATTAGCCACCAGTGATTTCTCATGAACAAGAGACTTTATAACCACCCGCACCATGGGAAACATTTTGATCAAAGCTTGTATCCTAATGGACATGAAATAATCCAAATGCAAGATACAAAGCCAAGAGAAACAAGGTTTCATAAGTGGTTGGTTAGATTTTTTTTTTTTTTTTTTCACAACAAGCTAATGGCAGTTACATCCCATTCAAATTCTTACTTCATTTGCAACCTTTTTTTGGGGGGGGGGTTAATTGCATATTTAGGAGGAACAGAAGGCATATGCATCAACCAAAAGGAAATAGCTTGTTACCATTAGGAGATGCTCTACCAGTCCATGGACACCTTTTCAGAACATTAGTCAGGATCAAAATGAGTTTCCGTGGAGTGTTACTCTTTTTTTTTTAATCATTTTTTATTTTTTTACAGCAAATTAGCTGTTAGAATAAGTTTAGAAATGGAATATAGTTGGAGTGTATTGTGTCTTCCCAAGTCAGGATTTTATCCCAAGTCAAGATAGTTCTCGGTTCTTTTGGAAGTGTGCTGCAGCAGCACGCAAACAGTTTGGCTCCTTCTCTGGAGTGTGAGTAGCGTTCTCACAGCGTCAGCGGGAACAGTCTGTTGCCAATGCAAGTCACTGCCGATATCCTGATTTTCCACAGGGCCATTAACTACCTGTCTGTGGGGATCAGAGGAGTCAGGAGTCTTTGTCTCCCCCAAAAGAAAGACACTACCAGTCAGTTGATTGAAATACTGAGCTTCCATGCTTGTAGTGGCTTCAGGGTCCTGCTTGGATTGGAACGGGGAACAGGGTTAATATAATCTGGGGAATAAAAGTTAGAACAAACACATAGGTGTTGTTTATGCACATAGAGCAGAGACGTATATAAGTGGTTTTAGATGATGAATGCGACTTTCTCTACTTAATCTTCAGAATGAAATTTTGAGCACATTTTTGCCTGGAAGAGTTGGCCCATTGGCTTTAGCCACCTTTCCATGCTCTGCTCCACTTGCCAGCTGAAAACTTGTACCAAGTTCCCCTGTTACCACATATCTATAGATATATCTTTTCCTTCACTAACACCAGACTATGCTACACGGTTCTTGCGTATATTGTGCTTCTGCAAAGTTGCCGTCTGTGGAGATTTTTCTGGCTATCACCAAACTTGCAGGCACAGGCATGTGGCAACTCAGGCTGAGCATGCAAAAAGGGTGGGTAGGAGAAAGTTCCGTGGGCCTATTAGGTAAGTCCATTTTTTTTGTGCTTAACCAACCTAGAATAACTAACCATTCTCATCTTGTCCGTTCGACCTTGCTAATAAATAAGCTGGACTGCTCGTTTTGTGCAACAGTCTTAGCACTTCACGGTGTTGCGCACACTCTACACGTGTACGCACACACCTACTATGGATTGTCTGTGGAGAGTCTCCCTAGTTGATAAACATTAGAGCTTCCACTAGGTAATGGTATTGATGATGACTAGGAAATAGTATTTTCTTGTTACATGTTAAAGCACACAAGAACTCTTAATAATGAGAATCAAATATGTTTTAAAAACTGTAGTCCAAGCACAAGCTCTTAAAATGCTTATTTTATTTAAAGATAACAAATGTTGTCATTGGCATTTAACATTTTCTTCAGTATTTTTTTTAAATGACGTATTTTCCATACAAAAAATACATGTTTTTCTTTGTGGTTATTGTTAATCCTCTTTCTTGCAGTTACAGGATGAAAAAACGGTGGGTTTTAATCTGGTATATGATTACAGACACTTATTTAGAAAGGTTTTACATT